TTTATTTTTTATATTTTTATGTTTTTGTTTATTTCTTCGTCAATATTTACATCTTGGTTCTCGTCAGTGTGAGTGCCATGAATTATTGGGAACACCCAGGAGTATTCGTAGTTCACGCCAGTGACCTTCCTGCTTACAATTACATATATCTTATTAACCAAGCGCGAGGGCCGTACTGGGAGAATATCGGCCCGAGGTCTTGACAGTACGGACCGAGCGCAGCGAGGTCCGTACAAAAGAGACCAAGGGCCGATATTCTTCCAGTACGGTCCCGAGCAAGCTTGGTTAATAAGAGATTTATTATACGACTGAAGTTCAAAGGGACACAAGTGCGGTATCATTCGGAACCATTCGGGACAGTGCCCGGTCCAATACGGAGAGAATATTGACCGGCAATAGAGCATTTTGACTGGTTAATTTTAGTTATTGGCCCTCGGACTGCCCGAGTCGTGTAATAAATAACAATTACATCAAGTTTCTTAATTTTTTTCAGAATTTTGGCAGGTCATCCATTCATCTCCAATTTGAAGCATGCAGCAGTTCAGTGGCACGAATGGATGTCATTCTATGAGCTTCTTTTTGGTGTGTTGAATACCATAGGAAAATTTATTACTTGACGAGGGACTTCCGCGTTAAATTGCACGCGAAAACCGGTATCGCACGAACCGCGAATCGATGAGTGCAATATCAGTTTTTGCAAGTGTAATTTAATGCGGAATTCACGAGTCCAGTAATGGATTTTCCTTGAGTCGCATAATTGAATAAAAACAAGAAAAAAAGAAAACAGTTTTACTTATAGTTGTTATGTATACGTAGATGCAAAACAATACCACTTAGCCTTGCTTTTAACCCGCAATTCCACGCTAAATACCTCGCATCGTTAACCAATCAGAATGCGAGATTTTATTCAATAATGTGATTCAACAACGAATCTCCAACAATCAGACTCCATCTGACTTTGTCTCTAGTGACTTATTAGCGATTGGAGCCGTCTACATATGTGTTTATCTTGACTTGGGCGAGCCACTATGACTACCGTGGAGTATCTGGGTTTTACGTCACTCAATCGACCTTGAGGATTGCTCTTCTTACAACGCAAGAGCAAAATTTGATGATCACTCTAAAAAAACACCGCTCAATCGAAATTCCCGCTGAAATCATAGTAAGGTTGTTATATTGTAGCTTGAGAGGAAAGTTACATTCATTTAATGTAGGATTAAAGGCTTAGTTTCATATCAGAGAGTCATAAAAAGGGGAACATTTAAAATGTAAATTTTATGGCGGGCTAAGAGGGGTTCGCAATTTCAAGGAATTCTAAAACTTATAAGTTAGCGATTGTTAAGGAAAATACTCATAACTGAGGAGAGTGGTACCTTTAAGAAGTTTTGGTTTCAAGGATTTGCTCTTTGAAAATGTTTTGCGTTAATTTGTGAACAATTACAGATCAGGTGACGATGAGACGCACGTTTAGGCATGTATGTTGATACTTCGACAACATACATAGTTATTGTTAACGTTATCAAAAGATAAAAATAAATTTGCAATGCCCCTTTCATTTTTATACATACGTTTATATTCACGAAAATTAGGCCCATAGCTTAAATGGTGAACATACAGAGACTTAAGACAGGACGCTCAATTTCAATATTTATTTCTATCCCTGCCTACAATAGCCATGACGTATCTCCTATTCTCTTCGTTTTCCGTTTTCCGGCTCGCATGATAATTATCGGAAAACCAGAAATCTAAAAGTAAAAAGAATATAAATAAATAGAGTCACAAATTTTTGCTCAACATTTTTAGCAGAAGTTTAATATGTGAAGGTGTAGTCTGATCGTCCGGGTGAGTGTAGTCCTGAGAAGGACTGTTGTCGGTGGCAGTGACTGACGTTTCGACAACCTGTGCGGAAGTCATCATCAGAGTCAAGTGAATGATTGTTGTCAGTAGAATGTTCTTATTCCAGTTCGTGTGAAATGATCGGTTGGTTTTGCCGTGATGTTATTGGCTGTAAGACTCAAGTGACGTAAGTCGGTCGTGATTGGTCTGTTTCG